AGGGATTGAACCCATGCCCCCTGCAGTGGAAGCACGGAGTCTCAACCACTGGACAGCCAGGGAAGTCCCATCAATAGAGTTGTTTTTATGCAACTAAATTTCACATGTAAGGTGAAATTTATTTCATTTAGATGAATGAAGAGCCAAGAAAAGCCAATACATTATTGAAGAAGGGAGAATTATATTTGCCAGATAGTAAGGTTTAATATAAAATTATAGTATTAAAACAGTGTGGTTTTGGTACAGGGATAGACAAAGAGGCTAATGGAACAGAGCAGACTTTTAAATAAATAGTTTAATATATGAACATTTAATAAATGGTTCTGACAACTGTCTCTCCATGTAGAAAAAGACAAAATTAGACCCTTACCTCAAACTATACACAAAAATTAATTTCAGGTGGACTAAAAACTTAAAAGTGAAAATAAAAACTGTAAGCTTTAGAAAATAACACAAGAGAATATCATTATTATGTAAAATCCATTAAAAGAAATAAAATAGATTTTAAAAATCCATACAGGTAAAATGTTAAAACAGGGCTTCCCTGGTGGAACAGTGGTTAAGAATCCACCTGCCAGTGCAGGGGACACGGGTTCGAGCCCTGGTCCGGGAAGATCCCACATGCCGCGGAGCAACTAAGCCCGTGCACCACAACTACTGAGCCTGCACTCTAGAGCCCATGAACCACAACCACGGAAGTTCGTGAGCCTAGAGCCCATGCTCCGCAACAAGAGAAGCCACTGCAATGAGAAGCCCGTGCACCGCAACGAAGAGTAGCTCCCGCTCACCACAGCTAGAAAAACCCTGCACACAGCGACGAAAGACAGAACACAGCCAAAAATAAATAAAAACCAAAAAATTTTTAAATGAATAAAATCTATCTTTAAAAAATTAAGTGGGGCTTCCCTGGTGGTGCAGTGGTTGAGAGTCCGCCTGCCGATGCAGGGGACACGGGTTCGTGCCCCAGTCCGGGAAGATCCCACATGCCGCGGAGCGGCTGGGCCCGTGAGCCATGGCCGCTGAGCCTGCGCGTCCGGAGCCTGTGCTCCGCAACGGAAGAGGCCACAACAGTGAGAGGCATGCGTACCACAAAAAAAAATAATAATAATAAATGAAATAAAATAAAACGTTAAAACAAAATATTGAGTAAGAAAAGCAAGTTGGAAAGAATGCATACATTTTGATGATAATAGTATGTACTGTTTGTACAAAATTATAAACACACACATATGGGAACAAACACAGTAAAAGAACATAAGCAAACTGTAAGGGTAGATAAATCTGACTACTTAAAAATTAAAACTTCTGTACAAAAGATATCATGAGCAAAGTAAAAATCAAATTCACATAATGGGAGAAAATAATGAAAACCCATACAATCATCAAATAATTGGTATGCATAATAATAAAGAATTCCAACACAGCTGTAACAAAAAGAGAAACAATCTAAAAGAAAAAGAGACACGAATGCATACAATTCACAAAAATTGTAAATTGGTGGCTATTAAGCATCTGAAAAGATTCTCAACCCCATTAACAATCAGGGAAATGAAAATTAGAAATCAATGAAACCTTATTTTGCATCCATCATATTGGCAAGAATTAGTAAATCTCATAACATCAAATATTGGTGAAGATGTGGGGAAATGGACTCATGCACATTGTAGGTACCACCACTTTGAAGAGCAACTGATGAAGTCCTAGGAAAGCTGAAGATGCATTATTCTTTGATCCAGTAGTTCCACTTCTACATGTCTATTCTAAAGTAAACTTGGGTGAACAAAGAGGTTTGTACAAAGTCGTTCATTTGTAGAATGGTAACATGGTTTGTAACAGCTGAAGAATGAAAACATCCTACTGTCTCTAAGTAGAATAATGGATATCCTCAGGTTTGTCAATACAATGCATTCTACACAGCAGTTAACATGAATGAAGTAGATCTAAACTTGTCTGTCTATCTATCTACGGCAATAAATCTTTAAAAACCAAAATACTGAATAATAAAATCAAGTTGTAAAAACATACAGATTTTAAAACACACTAAACAACACCTAAACTGTTTTAGGATACAGTCATCTGTATCCTATCAGTGATTCCCCCCAGGTGACATTTGGCAATGTCACAACTGGAGGAGGATGCTACTGGCATCTAGTGGGTAGAAGCCAGAAATGCTGCTAAACATCCTGCAAAGCATTACCTAACCATCCCCCCACCCTCAATACATATAAAGAATTATCTGACTCCAAATGTCTAAAGGACTGAGTTTGAGAAATCTTGCTCTAGAGCCATCCTATCCAAATTATATAAATGAGAATGCGGGATTGAGGCAGGAGTGTTATTCTTCAAAAAAAAAGAAAGAGTATATAGTTCAGGGAAAGGGGAAGTAATTAAAACATATCAACTACAGTATGTGTGAAAAAGATTGAAAGAATACACATCAAAATATTCTCAGTAATGATTTCTGAGATAGTGTTCAAGAATTGTGTTGTGGGGCTTCCCTGGTGGCGCAGTGGTTGAGAGTCCACCTGCCGATGCAGGGGATACGGGTTCGTGCCCCGGTCAGGGAGGATCCCACATGCCGTGGAGCGGCTGGGCCTGTGAGCCATGGCCGCTGAGCCTGCGCATCCCGAGCCTGTGCTCCGCAACGGGAGAGGCCACAACAGTGAGAGGCCCGCGTACAGAAAAAAAAAAAAAAAAAAGAATTGTGTTGTGTATACTTCTATTTTCTAATTTATCTAAAAGGAATACGAAGCATTGGTGAAATTAAAAATCATTTGGAGAGAAAAATACAAAAAAACATCTTTCATCAAAAAAGTTTTCTTCTAAAATTTTATGCTTCAGGTCAGTTTCATAGCGCATATTTTTACGTTATTTTTCTTAAGTATTAACTATTTTGTGTTCTACTTTTTCCCATTGGCATTATTTCATATAGATCATTACATAAATCCAGATAATCTTTATATTTGAAGTTTTAATGGCTATATGATGTTTCATTGTATTACTTTGTCAAGAGTTACTTAGCCATTTCCTAGCTGCTAATGATTTTGGATCCTTCTATTATTATGAAAAGTATAAACATCTTTGCAAAAATTGAGTGTTTCTCTTTATTGAATTCTTTCCCTGGGATTTGCTCCCAGGAGCAGATTTGCCACATGGAAGGATATAATGAATTCTGTGATGCTTGGTACATGTTGTCAGATTTCTTTCCAGAAAAATTATTCCATTATTTCTACAAGCAATGCATGAGTATACTTGAGTCTCCAAAGCACTGTTAACTTCGGTTTTAAAAAAAAAAACCTATCATTAATTTAACATGTAGGAGGTAGTATACTGGACTCTTTTAATTTCCAATTCTTTAATTATTAGGGAAGCTAAATATTTTCCCAAGTGATTGTACACTATTTGTAGTTTCCCTTGTGCAAACCATCTCCTCATATCCTTTAACCATCTGTCCAGTCAGACTTGAGTATTGTCCAAATAGATAATATTAATTTTCCTTAAATTCATAATAGTAAATGTTTGTAGGTTATTACAGTGTTCCCCCTGTTGTTTTCCTATTTATTTATCCAATTTGGGACTGTGATGGTTAATTTTACAGGTCAACTTGACTGGGCCACCAGATACTCAGGTAACTGGTTAAACGTTATTTGGAGGTATCTGTGAGGGTGTTTCTGGAAGAGAGGAGCATTGGTGGATTCTGTAAAGCTGGTGGTCCTCCCCAGAATGGAAGGGGAAACAACCACTTTGGAAAACATTTTGGTAGTTTTAAAAAGTTACACTTACCTTATGACCTAGCCACTCCATTTCCAGTTATTTACCCAAGAGAAAGAAATCACATGTCCATATAAAAATGAGGCAGGCTGGGACCTGGGACCCTTTGCTGTAGTGCTTGCACCTGGACAAACTTTCTCCTCCAGAAACAAAATACAAAGAAACTATAAGGGAGTAAAATTAACTGTGAGTTGGGGCAAATTATGAACAACACATACAAAAAGACCAAAAATACAACTGCCACTTCTGAGGAGCTGGAAGCAAAACCAGGGTCCTGCACAGGCATCCTGCGCACAGCACCACCAAAGGGGTGGCCAGACCACCCAAGCCACCCCTCCAGCACAGCCCCTGGACCCGCCACCTACCCTCACCCCATGTAAGGAAAAAGCTTGCCCTGCCCCGGGAAGCGAGCAAGGGAACCTGTTACTTGTTTTCGCTCCCTCAAGTTGCAGTATGAGTGCCAATAAAGCCTTGCGTGAATTTCTTGTCTGGCCTCTTATCAATTTCTATTGACTGAGGAGTCCAAGAACTCTGGTCGGTGACACACAGATTTGCACTGAAATGTTGCCAGCAGGTTTACTTCTAATAAGGAAAAATTGGGAATGATAATGTCTATCAACAGGTGACTAGGTAAACACATTGTTGTATATCTATAAATGGAATAGTACTCAGCACCAACAAGGAATGAACAGTTGTTACATGCAAGAACAGGAAGGGCTGTCAAAATAGTTATTCTGAGTGAAAGAAGCCAGACAAAATAAAAAATGGTTCCACTTATGTGCAACTCAAGAAAAAGCAAACTAATCTATAGTTCCATTTAGAAACAATTCTAGAAAATGCAAACAAACTAAAACAGATCAGTGGGGTGGGGGAAGAGGGTGTGGGGAGTAGAGTGGGAATGGGTGCTGTGGGGTGGGACCAGGGGAAGAGCCTGCAAGGAGAGAGGCAGGTTTGGGGGAGCAGCGCAGGGAGGTAAGCGGTACATGGGCCGAGGGGGCCAAAGAAGGCCCAGCGGAGACGGTAGGGGCAGGAGCAAGAAGCGGTTAGGAGAAGGAAAGCGGGAAGGGCAAGAGTGGGGTAAGGAGCAGAGCGCGGTGCGGTGCTTGGAGACCGGACAGGATGGGAGGTGGGAGGAGGCGGGGCGGAGTGGAGCATCGAAGACGTGGGCGGGTCCTGCGGGCGTGGGCGGGTCCTGTGGACGTGGGCGGGTCCTGCGGACGTGGGCGGGTCCTGCGGCCTGGGCCCCAAAGGGTCGTGTACAGCGTCATGGCGCGCTTCCTCTGCGCGCTTAGGAGCCTTCCCTTCCGAGAAGTGCCCGGGTGGGCGGTCCGGGGCCGAGCGAACCGGGGCGGCCTCGGCGCGAGTACCGGACCTGAGGACGCAGGTAGGAGGCGGGCCTCGCAGGCCCCGCCGCCACTTCCCAGCTTTCGGTTTCCCTTCACTTGCCAGGACTTGGGAGCCCGACAGCTGGTTCTGGACTTGGCGCTTACTTTCTCGGAAAGCTCCTTCGGGACGCCCCTGCCCGCCCACCTCCTGCCTTCTGCGACAGCTGGTTGTATATTATTAGGGGCGGGGGGGGGTCACTGAACCCTATGAGGATTTGTGTAAAGGTACAGATCCTCTCTCCAAACGTGCACACACTTCTTTTTTTTTTTGCATAAAATGTTACGCTCTAGAGCCGGGCCTCAAGGTGTTGGGTCAGCAGCCCACCCCGCGCGCTCTCTGCTGCAGTGGCCCCTGCTCTGTTACACTGTCCACCTTCTCCAGTTATGTATGCTGCTTTTCGCGTCTGAGAAGCAGGCGGTTCAGACTTTGCATGCCTGTGGATCTGCTCCCTGACCTGCTCTATTTCTGTGTTTCCAGGACCCAGGGAAACGTGTGGACTAATACCATACCTCCTTTAACCTGATAACCATCGTTAGTCAATGGCTGTGATACAGACTAGGGAAAAGTGTGTCTATTTTCTACAAAATGCCTTTGGCTGCTCTGTGGGACTGGGGCACGTTTACATTTCATCCTTTAGTACGGAATCACTTGTGGAGACATGCGTTAGCTGGCACTGTATTTCAGGCCTATTTCAGGGGAATCTAGTGCCTCGTGTACATTGGCTTTATGGGCAGATGCCTAGCCATCCAGTCTCTGAATCCATTTGTTATGTGTCCACTGAAGACTTTTAAAGCTACCTATCTGTGCTGAAAATGTACCCAGTCACTTGGAATTCTTTTTATCCCCTGAAGTTTTCAAAATGATGTGTTAAATAAATAAAAGCCCTGGCAGTGTGCAGTGGGAGCTGATCCAACATGACTTGGGGCCATGGCCTTCAGAACCTCTTGGTGTCTCTAGTCAGCCAATCTGATTTATTTGTTCTGTGCCTACTGTGTGCCAAGCATTGGTTTCCTGAGAACCACAGGTGATGGAAACATCACAGCTGTGGGCTGGAGCTCTTCTCATTCCCGTTTATAGGGTGGCGGTTTCAGCAGAAATTTGTCCCATGTTTGTACTTGGTGCTGTCAAAAACAGCCTAATGAATTGCCCTGGAATCTGAGGTTCTTCAGCAACGTTAAAATTTGGCCAGGGCTTCCCTGGTGGCACAGTGGTTGAGAGTCCGCCTGCCGATGCAGGGGACATGGGTTCGTGCCCCGGTCCGGGAAGATCCCACATGCCGCGGAGCAGCTGGGCCCGTAAGCCATGGCCGCTGAGCCTGCGCGTCCGGAGCCTGTGCTCCGCAACAGGAGAGGCCACAACAGTGAGAGGCCCGCGTACCGCAAAAAAAAAAAAAAAAAAATTTGGCCAGACACCGATACAGGAACTGCTAACTTATCAGACACCCTCTCCTGGGAATTCCTTCTAAGGAAATAATTCTAAAGAAGAACAAAGTTATATGTGCACAGATGTCTTTAACAGAACTACTCTTAAGAACTAGAAACTGGCTCTAACCCAAACATCCATCAGTTAAGGAATGCTTAAGTAAACCATGAAAGTTCAATTCAACAGCTAGTAGGCAACCACTGAGAATGATGGGCAGGTAATAGTTCTGTGGTTAAGGGGTTTTCAGAGTCGACAGTGTCAATCACTGACCCTGTGTCTTTGGGCACGTCTTGAACTTGGTACGCTGAAGCCTGTTTTTTTCTTCTGTAAGGATAGTGATAATGGTAGGGTTGTTTTACAGAATAAATGAAAAACAAACCTAAAAATGTTTTATCACAATATTGGTACTTAGTAGGCATACAGTAAGCATTAGTTATAATTACATAAAAAATGGAAAGGTTAAAAGTGCAGCTGCATTCAACCCTGTGTTGTGGACTTGGGGCCTTGTTTATATATTGGCCTAGTTATCCATGTTGTGGGGAGGACTAGTGAGACATAAACAAGTACAGAGGTTTGCTGACGGGGAAACATTTTATAGGCTATACATTTTATCACTTATAGCCAATTATCACACAAGCATTGTACATGTGCTTTTAGCAGTAAACTTAAAGCCAGCAGTGACACACCTCATAAGTCATTATACTCTGTGATAACTAGGCAATTTTTTCCATCCCAAGCACTGGGGTCAAATATGTGGTTGAAAGCAAAACAGTAACTTTCCACTAGAATTCTTCAAATTTCTTACCCAGTTCAGCAGTATGATCTGAAAGTTATCGTATGTTTTCCATATAATTTAACATACTAAATAATCCTAGTTACTTTAATATTTCTTCTGAGATGTCTAGGGGCCCTTTGGAATACTCGAAGTTAGCTTGAGAAAGAAACTTACTGTTATCAAAAGCACCTCAATATTCCTGAAAAATTTTGTTCTCTTAACAGGGAGAAAGAAAACCTAATTCCAGTTTTGTACCAGCTTACTATTAATAACAAAGTTCATTTACCTAATTAAATCCAATCTAATCTTTTTTTTTTTTTTGGCTGCATTGGGTCCTTGTTGCTGTGCGTGGGCTTTCTCTAGTTTCAGCGAGCGGGGGCTACTCTTTGCTGCAATGCGCGACCTTCTCATTGCAGTGGCTTCTTTTGTGGCAGAGCAGGGGCTCTAGGCGCGCAGGCTTCAGTAGTTGTGGCACACAGGCTCCAGAGCGCACGCTCAGTAGTTGTGGTGCACAGGCTTAGTTGCTCCGCGGCATGTGGGATCTTCCCGGACCAGGGCTTAAACCGTGTCCCCTGCATTGGCAGACGGATTCTTAACCACTGCGCTACCAGGGAAGCCTGCAATCTAATTTTTTTTTTTTTGTGGTACGCGGGCCTCTCACTGTTGTGGCCTCTCCCGTTGCGGAGCACAGGCTCCGGACGTGCAGGCTCAGCGGCCATGGCTCACGGACCTAGCGGCTCCGCAGCATGTGGGATCTTCCCGGACCGGGGCACGAACCCGTGTTCCCTGCATCGGCAAGCGGACTCTCAACCACTGCGCCACCAGGGAAGCCCCCGCAATCTAATCATAATCACTCCTTCAATGTACAAAATTCTTTTCTCAAAATTTCCTTTTTTCGCAAACCTTTTATCACTTTTTGTATCCATATGATTTGTCCCTTTTCTTTGCCCATCCAAAAACAACCAACTGTAGGACAAATTATTATCCTCATTTTTCCTCAACAAATATATCTCCATTCTTTATACTTTCTCTCGCCGACAACACATATCCTACTTGCTTTCCACACTGAAATGCTTCCCTTATCATTTTTAGTAGCTTTAATTACATATTACAATTTTTAACCCTTAAAAGCCTTAACAAAACCAAGAAACAAGTAATTGAACTGTTATACCAGCATTTACTGATTGGCAAACTTAAGAACATAAGAACATACTCCATAACCTCTAAAAACTTACATTTTTCTCATAGCATAATTTCTCTTTAATGTGGTACAAGATGTGTGTTTAATAAACCCAAACATCTTTTGAAGTTTTACTATTTAACCCAAGGCTGAAGTCTCAGGCAAAGTGGGCTGTGTTTGTATTTCAAGGACATGATAAGAGTTAACATCAAGCTTTCTCCTATGCATATTTTGGTTCTCTCAGGGTCAGAATTCTGAAAACAGTATTTTATCAAGTCAGCTTTCTCTAACTGCATATGCAAAAAGAATCGGTTTTGGAATTTCAAAAGAGTTTCATCTTATCCATTCTTTTCCAAAGTATAAAGAATACTGTTGTCATATATTGTTTAAAAAATTATCTTCCTTTTTCTTTAGTCGTAATCTCATAGCTAAAATTTTTCTAATGAATTGAACCTGACCTTACCATTTTACAAAAGACAGCAAAGATACCAATCACACAAATGAAATACACACTCACATACCAGAAGACACAACTGTCACAATCCTCCAAGACAGTGACCCATGTGGAGTCCCAAACACTTCCCCAACACAAAGGGTCCTCGACAGTAGACACACGGCAGAACCAACTGGCAAAATGCCCAAATGACACACTCAGTGCTCACAAACAGCCCTCAATGTCAGACACGTCAGAACCAATTGGCAAAATACGCAGATAGCACTTCGTGCTCAAAAGAGAAGTTTGGCCGGCTGCACACCCGTGGACTTACTCGGTCATCGAGCTCGTCAGTTTGTCCAGCATGTTTCCGTTCCACCAAGGAAAATCGTGCGCTGACAGCCAGTGCCGAGCAGGGGAGAAACAGGGAGGATCCCCCAAACACACGGTTTCGGCAGCTGCTAGGAGCGTCCCCCCAAACCCCCTTCCCGGGGCCAGCGAGCCTCGAGCAGCGGCTCCTCACAGCCATCCCGGCGCGTCATCATGGCGGCTCAGCTCGGGAAAACCGCGGGAGCAGATATCGCGAGAGTGCAGCAGCCCCAGGTTGGGAGCCAGAAACTGTAACCGAAAATGGGGTCGGGCTCGCCGCTCTAAAGCCAATAAAGAGGCCAGGTTGGTGGGAAGGAAAGTTTGCTTTATTTCAGAGGCCGGCAGCCTGGCGGGGGAGGGGGCAGAGGCCTGTCCAAAGGCCGACTCCCCCCACTGACAATCAGTGGGCAAGAGCTTTTATAGATGCTGGGAGCGGGCTACACGCAGAAACAGCGCAGTCAGCTCTGACAGTCATCTTGACGTTGGCCATCGGTGGTCTGATCAGCGTCATCTTGATTGTTTTAAGTGCAGTTAATGTTCAGTTCCAGGGTCAATTTGTTCCATTTCTTTAAGGCCAGCTCTCAGAATTGTGACTGCTTATGTCGTGGCTATAGCCTGGTCATCATGTAACTTCTTCCACCTTGCGGGGTTTCAGTATCTGTAAGACAACTCACAGGGTATGGCTCAGAATATTACCTATAGCCCTTGAGGAGGAACTAAAAGTCCTTGACTTTGCTTAATGACCAACCTATTATTATTTGGTCTTGTTGGACTGTTTTCCTTTGTTTCTGCATTTTCTCACTTCTCTGATTAAACTTATTCTTTGGCTAAAGTTTTTCCACAGACAAAAGGCAGCCTGAGGACATGGGGGGCAAGCACCATAGGGTCCTGCTCCATTTCACTAGCACACTGCATTCTTGTGGTTTCCTTCCCACCTCTCTGCTTGTCCCCATTTCTTCAACGTGTATATTGCGGAGAGCCTCAGAGTCCAGTCCTTAGGCCTCTCTCTCTGTTCTGTCTACACTCACTGACTTGGGGATCTTCCAGTCCAAGATAAATAACATCTAAAGGCTGAGGAGTCAAAAAGTTATATTTTCATCCTAGACCTCTCTTGGAACTCTAAATCCATATATCCAACTGCCTAGTTGACATCTCCACTTGAATATCTGATTGGCATTTTTAAAGTTAACAAATTCAAAACCAAGTTCCCAAACCTACTCCTCCTGTAGTCTTCCCCCATCTCTCAGAGCCCAGAAGCTGTGGAGTATGACCCTTGGCCCTTTGCTTTCTCTTACCTCCACATCTGACCCATCGGCAGATCCCCCGGCTCTACCATCAGACTGTGTCCAGCGTCTCGCTACTTAGCCACTCTCCTGCTGCCACCCTGATCCAGGTTTCCACCTCTCAGCCAGATTAAAGTAGCCTCTGTAATGGTTCCCCTGCTTCAGACTTCACCCTGCTTCAAATATTTTTTTAGTATATCTACCACTGATCCTTTTAAAATATGATAGATCATGTCATGCCTCAGCTAACCTTCCAATGACTTCCAGACTCACTCAGAACATAAGCCAGTGTCCTTACAACAGCCTTCAGGGCCCTAAATGATCTGGCCCCCATCATCTGTCTGCTGCCACTTCTACTAACCTTCCCTGCTGACTCCACCTCCGTTGCTCTGGCCTCCTTGCTGTTCATCAGATGCGCCAGCCACACCCAGCCTGGTGCTTCTCTTGCCTGCAGTGCGCTTCTTCTAGGTATTCATGTTGTGTGTTTGTTCATTTCCTTCAACTCTTTGCTGAAATGTCGCCTTCTTAATAAGGCCTTCCCTCATTATTTTAAATTGTGTGTGTGCATATGCACACATAAATACGTACACAAACATCCTCACACTAATATCCTTTGTGATTTTTGAAAAAATCATCTAAAGTTTTACATTCTTAGTTACTTTACCTCAACTCCATAAGGGCGGTGACTCTTGTCTGTTTTCTTTACGTCTGTATCCCCAGCATCTAGAATAGTGTCTGGCATATAGTAGGTGCTCTATAAATATGACCAAATGAATGAAGAAATGAATATCAAATGCCAAGGCACTGATAAATAGGGGTACACTGAACAAAGACACAGTTTTTTCAGACTTTCAGCTTCTAGTTGAATGAGACATCCAGACAAATTAACCTGCGATTGTCGTGTCTATCATGGAAGCACTGAGGGCCGTGAGAACCCAGAGGAGGAGCTTGCAACCCAGACTTAGGGGGTCAGGGAATATTTCTTGGAGAAGATAACATGTAAACTGAGACCAGAGATTGGAGACTTCGGTTTCTGTCCTGGCACGTAAGGATCTTAGAAGTCTTCACTCCATCTTAACAACAAGTAAAAAGCTAAACAAACTATGATGTCTTCTGGGGGAACTCAGAGGACCACAGTTGAGAGGGCCTGGAGCATAGTAGAAGGGAGAAGTTGGAAGTGGTAAGCAGGGCCAACCATGAAGAGCCTTGGAAGTCACATCAAGGAGTTTGGAATTTATCTTGAGGGTATTATGTCACATTGAACAGTTTTGGGCAGTGAGGAAAAAGAAGTGGTTGGAATAGGGGAGGGCATACAAATTAGAAAAAAATCTGTAATATTCTGTGCTGGAGGTAATGGTGGCCTGATCCAAGGTAGTTGCAGAGGGGTGAGAATGAGCAGATCCTAGAGTTATTTAGGAAGTAGAACCAACGGGCTTGGCGCAAGGGCAAGGGAAGAGTCATGGATGGTGGCCTGGCTTTCTGGTTTGAAACATGGAGTTGATGAGCTGGAGCACATGAGAGGAGGACCAGATTTGGGTTGGGGTGGAGGAGATACATGAAATTCTCTTGTTTGGGACGGGCTTAGTGGAGATATCCAGGTGTGGATTGTGTATGGATCCAGTACTCAGCAGAGAGATCTAGGATGGAGGGAAAAAACAGGTTGGGCGTCTCATCATGTAGATGGTACTTTAAGGATAAAATCTCCCAGGGTGGGGGAGGGGGTGTGGAGGAATGATAGAAGAAAGCCTAAGACAGACAGACTCCTCTAAAGAACACCAGTATTCAAGGATGGCTAGAGGAAGGGGAACTGAGAAAGGTTGCTGAGAGGGAGGAACTGGAGAGATGGGAGGATTTGGTGTCATGCAAGCTGAGGGAGTAGACTGTACCAGGAAGAGAGAATGTCTAGTGTCACTTCTATGGAGAAGTAGATGGGATGAGGATGAAGTGTTCCTGGGTGTCCCTAAGAAGTCCTGGTGAGCTCTCTGAGAGCAGACTCAGTGCAGCGCGTCCCACCCACAGGCACATGATGTCAGCTGGCCCCACCGTCAGTGATGCTAACCTTGCTTACTTGGTTGAGGTGGTGATTTCTAGACTTTTCCATTGTAAAGGTACATTTTCTTACTTGTAAAATTGATAATTTGAGGGATCATATTTTGAAAATGTGTAACTATTCCATTCTTCAACAGTCTTTTCACCCAAGGGTTTTAGAATTCCCTGATGATTCTTGCTTGAATCCGTCTATTATTTTAGTGATTGCAAAAATGGTGATTTTAAAAATTTCATCATTCCTTCTCCCTTTATTACTTGGCATTCTGCATAATAACTCTGAAAGTCACTAAGCAGTAATAATGATCACATGAATACATTTTGCTTTGCTCCCCAGGAGCTGAGTTCCTGAAAAATTTGTGTGTAACTGAGCAATATTTCCATAGGAGTATTTCAGAGGTATATTTCCACTGGAAAAAAGAAATCCCCGTGGCCTTATAAAAAGTATTCAAGAAAGGACACCTTCTAATATATTTAACAGATAAAAACCCTTAAATAAAATGTAGACAACCATAGCAGTCAATAATATATACCACTGAAAATACCATGTTGTGCAGTGTTGTGAACTCGTGATGAAGATACAAGTCTTCTCTTGCTGAAGGATTATTTACGACTCTCTGTTTTGTAACCAAAAATGAAATTCAGCTACGATTTTCTGACATGTTTGTTATGTGGGTGGTGACATCACAGGTAGTTAACATTTCATCGTCAGTGCTGTGGTCAAGTCACTAACCCTTTGGGCCTTATCTTCTCCTTTGTAAGTTGAGGTGTAAGCAGATGGTAAGGTCCTCTCATATTCTTAACGCTGGATGATTAAAACGTTTATTTATTATAATATACATTAGGCTTCCTACTTCTCTTTGGCTAAAGTTATTATGTTTACACTCACTGGAAAAAAAAGTTGTAAAAAAGAAGCTGGGGCTTCCCCAGTG